GAATTTATATAAGATATAAGTATATCTGATAGGCCAAAAGTGGAGAGTAGGACAACAAAACAACATTATTATCAGGGATATTGTTGTAAGTGGAGTTTACTGTAAGTTGTAAAATCAACGATTCTCTCCACACAGAGTTAAAAGAATTAACATATATTTACAGTTAAGTAAGGGAAATTTTTGTGTCGCCTCTACGGAGTAGTGGCGACATATAGGGATCACTTCTCCGTCGTCTGTCTGTCCGTCTGTCCGTCTGTCCGTCTGTCTGTCTGTCTGTCTGTCCGTCTGTCCGTCCGTCCGTCACAAAACTTGTCCGGACTACTCCTCATAAACTACTGGTGCAATTTCATCCAAACTTTACAGGAATGATCAGTACCAAGTCTAGTTGTGCATATTGTCAGGATTTTCCGGTTCAATGATTTTTGTCAGAGTTATGGCCCTTTAATAATTTTTTATTTTAAAGTTTGTCCGGACTACTTCTCTTATACCACACATGCAATTTCAATGAAACTTTACAGGAATGATCTGTAGCTCAAGTCCTTGCGCATATTGCACGGGTTTTCCGGTTGAATGATTTTTGGCCGAGTTATGGCCCTTTGATAAAAAAGGTTTCTTTTTCTGTGTGTTGCCAGATACACAAAAGCTTGTCCGGACTACTCCTCATAAACTACTGGTGCAATTTCATCCAAACTTTACAGGAATGATCAGTACCAAGTCTAGTTGTGCATATTGTCAGCATTTTCCAGTTCAATGATTTTTGTTTGAGTTATGGCCCTTTAATAATTTTTATTTTTAAAGTTTGTCCAGACTACTTCTCTTATACCACTTATGCAATTTCAATGAAACTTTACAGGATTGATCTGTAGCAGACTTCCCGAAATACGTCGGTCCGACGGACATGTCCGATAAATTTTGATCAGGTCCGACAATTTTTTATTCCGGATCGGTCCGACTGTCCGGCTTTTATCCAAGCCGCATGTATACAAAATGGCGTCGCTAAAGGTGCCAAACCTTGGAAAAACTGAAAACCTACGTCAGGAAAGTGCGCAGAACAGCAATAAAAGGATGAAAAGAATAGACCTGAGACAAAATTTAATGAAAAATGGAAGCAGAACCATGAATCATTGGTGTATGACAGGGAGGAGATGAAAATGCACTGTACGGATTGTGCCGATTTTGACGGCGAAAAAATAAAAACAAAAAGTGTCTTAGAAATACACACACAAGTTTTTATTTGATTTTGATCAATTTTATTTGGTCCGACAGATTTTGTTTCGGTCCGACAGATTTTCATGGTTTGTCAGACCGAATGTCTGACAGTTTTTTTCAACTTTCGGGAAGTCTGCTGTAGCTCAAGTCCTTGCGCATATTGCACGGGTTTTCCGGTTGAATGATTTTTTGCCGAGTTATGGCCCTTTGATAAAAAGGAGTTTTTTTCTGTGTGTTGCCAGATGCGCAAAAGCTTGTCCGAACTACTCCTTTCAAAATATGGGTGATTTATTCTGTTTTATAACTTCTCATCCAGTTTCATCATGGGCTCAGGAGAATCAATGACTATTAGTTGGACCAAAATAAGCATAGTTATTATATGGCATGTTGGGAGTTTCATTATAAGTATAAATTTTTATGCTATTGGACTTTAATTATTTCAGGCTGGGTTTCTGATGTCTTCATACCTCCAGATAATTGGATTCTTAAACTTAACAGCAAGAAATGGAAAATCCATGTTGTTTTAAGGAAAGCAGAGCAACAAGAAAATCATGTACAAGAGCCTATGAAACAAAACAGAAAAGTAAAATTGTGACAGGCATATGGTAGGTCGTTGGTTTAATTTTATTTTGTCTACAGGCTTTTTCGAACACCAGGGGCATTAAAGGGACTCCACTGAGGTTTTTTGACATGACAAGACTGAACATATTTTTTCCAGATAAATGCACCATTTGAAGCAGGTTTAGACCACTAATTTTTGTGCAAAATTTCAGATCATTCGCACACTTCGTTTTTCCAGAATAATTATTCAAATTGTAAAAAAATGACCCAAAATGAAAAGCGTTTAAACGCTTTTCACTCAAATCGGGCTAAGAAAAGCATAAAAGTACGATTTTCAATTTATTTCAAAGTATATTTCTTAACTATCTTTGCATATATGTCTGTTTGACATGCCCCAGCTTTTTTTTGTAAGAAATTCAAATGTTAGGTTTTTAGGCTTTTAAACCTCAGTGGAGTCCCTTTAAGTGTTATTCCAAGATACTGGTATAGCTACTGACTTTAGCTTACAAAACCCTACTTTAGTCAAGTATGCTTGTTCACGTAAGTATGTTTGTTTGTTTGATTGGGTTTAAGTCACACCAACACAGTATATTGTCGATTCAAATAGGATCGAGAATGGGAAATCTTAAATTTAAAATTACATAGGAGTGGCAGGAAAATAATCATATACGAAAACACATTACCTGGATAACAGGTGATTGAATATCATCTAACCTGATAGTGCAGTGGTTATGTTACTTGTTTTGCATACGAAAGGTCTTAAGTTCAAATCGCACAAAGGGGTAATACTTTTATCAGGCCCTTTGTATTTTATTATTTATTTTTTTTATTTTTTTTCTTTGTATAATTTGTATACATGTATATATAATTTCCATGTTTTTATTCACGAGAATGCTATAGCATATGTAATGAATTACAATTCAATTCAATTAAACAATTCAAACAAAGCCTTAAACCTCTGTGGAACTGTCAGTCGCGCTGTCGTGTTTGTCTCCAGTGCCAAGAGAGAACCTCAATATTTTATTACCACGGAGAAATGGATGGCGAGGTCTTCACCAAGTGGCTTTATCAAATGCTTATCCCAAATCTTCCAGCACACACTGTCGTGGTAATAGACAAGGCACCTTATAACACTTTTTGCGATGGCCAACGAAATCAAGTACAAAAATTGTGAAGACAAACTTCTTACAGCGCCACAACATACACACCTCAACCAAACAGCTCAGGACATGCGTGCTCGCAATAAATATATTATTTTCGTTGCAAGCCCAAAAGCTCAATTGAATACCTGTGCATTGATATTATATATTATTTAAATGCATTGATATTATATATTATTTAAAAAAATAAAAATGATAGGATTCGAACCCGCAACTGTTTAGTTGATAGCCCAGTACGCTACCACTACACTACAATATCACACTGCAAGCACTATTGCCAATAAGTATTACAGTTCTATTACAGTACTATCCATACACACATGACTTACCTTTTCTTAAGTGCACTGATCCATACTGTGTTTACAACGGTTCCAAAATAAATAAACTTCAACAGTAGGTAATTTGGTGACATTCCAGTTTTACTGGTGGAGGAAGACCTCAGGTGCCCTTCAGTGCATTATTTCAGGCACGAACGGGCACCTGAGTAGAACCACCTAAGTTCTGTAAGCTAGCTGGATAGCTTCCTCACATGAAAGAATCCAGTCATTGTCGTGATTCGAACCCACAGCGGTGTGAGGCAAGTGGTTTGAAGTCAACGACTTTAACCACTCGGTCACGGACGCCCCATGTAAGTATGTAAAATAAACTAAAACATGAATACTGAAATGTGTAGATTGACTTCACAATATGAACTATTTAAGAGTTTTGTTATTTCTGTTCATTTTTTGTGTCGCCTCTACGGAGTAGTGGCGACATATAGGGATCACTTCTCTGTCGTCTGTCTGTCTGTCCGCACTACCGAATAGGGATAGGGGGCCATCTAACTGTAAACAGAACAAAAGAGAACAATAGAGTTCATTCGGTAACAATAGAGTAAGGGGCCATTGGCCCTCTATTAAACAATAGAAAATAACAAAAGAAATGGCCCCTTATTCCATTTCGGCCGGACGGCCGTCTGTCCGTCACAAAACTTGTCCGGACTGCTCCTCATAAACTACTGCTGCAATTTCATCCAAACTTTACAGGAATGATCAGTACCCAGTCTAGTTGTGCATATTGTCAGCATTTTCCGGTTCAATAATTTTTGTCAGAGTTACGGCCCTTTAATAATTTTAATTTTAAAGTTTGTCCGGACTACTTCTCTTATACCACTAATGCAATTTCAATGAAACTTTACAGGATTGATCTGTAGCTCAAGTCCTTGCGCATATTGCACGGGTTTTCCGGTTGAATGATTTTTAGCCGAGTTATGGCCCTTTGATAAAAAGGTGTTTTTTCTGTGTGTTGCCAGATACACAAAAGCTTGTCCGGACTACTCCTCATAAACTACTGGTGCAATTTCATCCAAACTTTACAAAAATGATCAGTACAAAGTCTAGCTGTGCATATTGTCAGCATTTTCCGGTTCAATGACTTTTGTCAGAGTTATGGCCCTTTAATAATTTTTAATTTTAAAGTTTGTCCGGATTACTTCTCTTATACCACTAATGCAATTTCAATGAAACTTTACAGGATTGATCTGTAGCTCAATTCCTTGCGCATATTGCACGTTTTTCAGGTTGAATGATTTTTGTTATGGCCCTTTGAAAAAAGGTGTTTTTTTCTGTGTGTTGCCAGATACGCAAAAGCTTGTCCGGACTACTCCTCATAAACTACGGGTGCAATTTTATCCAAACTTACAGGAATGATCAGTTCCAAGTCTAGTTCACTGTGCACTGTCTGTCTGTCTGTCTGTCCGTCTGTCATAAAATTTGTCTCAACATGAAATTGGCCATCATGAGGCGACACATGTGATCACTGATTGCTCTTGTTATAATTGTAAAGTCAATGAATTGCACACAATTTATTGCAAGTTTGTAAAATCACACACAACTTTTAACTTCATAGTTACTATACACAGAGTAATGATGTACATGTATTTTACATGTATTTTATTTTTTACGGATGAAATAAAGTTGCACCATATATAGTTTATATAGTCATGTTGTTATTGTTGAGCATTATTTTTGGTTTTGGTTTTTCTTTTACAAAAAAAATTATATTTACAAGATTTAGTTTGTATATTTGTGATGACACGAAATAAAACGAAAAACGAATTGCCATCCAGATAACCATTTATTCACAGGCATGTAATATGTCTTTCTGCATGTGATGTTTGTTTGTGTGGTAAATTACTGTAAATAAAAGAAAAAAAAAATACATATAACTTCTTATTATTACAAAACAACGAGATTTCTAAATTGTATGAAAGAATATTATAAATGCGATATTACAGAGCAAACATTACGATATATTAGCATCGAACCCTCATAATATAATCTTTTAACATTAAGAATACGACATTACAATCATGTAGTCTCGATACAAAAATACAAGTACGAAAATTTTAGGTACGAAATTCGAGGAAACTTGCAAAGCTTCTATTGCAAATAATACGAAGAATGCACACAAAATACGGCTATAAAATGACACATTATATGGTAAACTTCTAAATTAAACCATTAATGTTTATAAACTTACGCTGTGAGGCCATAAAAAGATCAAAACATTTGTTAATTTTCACGAGGAAAAAACGGCATGGCTTTAAACGAAAATTTCTTTTAAACGAAAAGTAACGAAAAGAATCAATGGAAAGTAATAAACGGAAAGTTCCATTACACTCCCCGTCTGATATTTTAGACCAAAAATATCATTATAGAAAAATTAAATTCAAAAATGGATCAGCAACCTTAAACCTTATTTACAACAATGGTACAAATACCTTAAAAAATTTCAAATTTTGTACATTTGCATTAAAATAACATTTCAAACAATTTTCATTCATTCAAAAGCCTTAAAACATTTTTGTTTTACATATAGTGAAATAAAACTATACAATGCAGTAACTAATTAAATCAATTATTTTTTCATGTCTTATATGAACATTTTTAACTGCGAACAAATACATTTCTTTACCAATATATCCAGAATACTGACTCTAGGAAGCCTTCAAATCATAAGATGTTAGAAAAACCAAAACCCTTCAACTTTAACAGAATTAAAACTGAAAACGTTAAAAGTGTTTGTTACCGCAATTGAAGTAAAAAAAACTGAAATACAAAAAATCCCTCAAATACATTTATAACTGTACACAAATTTTTATACAAATAACATATACTTGCTAAAATAAAGTCAGTTCACATTTGTATTTAGAACTCTATTAATCTACAATCCACACAACTTTCAACTGTCAATGTTCAGTTACATTTCATAAGTAAAACAACTTCTACAATTGGTCGAATATAATCTGACAATTTTCCTTCTCTGTGAACGCGAATTTTCACTTTACGAACAAGTCCGTCATCACTTGTATATGTTTCTAAAACACGTCCAATAGGCCAATCCATTCTGCCTGTCACTTGGTCTCTCATTACAACAATATCTCCTACCGCGATATTTTCTGACTTAGTGTTCCATTTTTGTCTTATTTGTAATGTATGTAAATAGTCGCGTTTCCATCTTTTCCAAAATGTATCAGCCAAATGTCGTACACGTAACCATTGAGCTTTATACAAGTCTTTAGTGTTAAGAACTCTAGTCTCCTGAATGTCAGCACTCATTTTTTGTGTTAAAAGAGTATTTGGAGTAAGTATCTCTGGAATTTCCGAGTCGTATGAAACTGGAATTAGTGGTCTAGAATTCACAATCGCAGAGACTTCTGCCATAAATGTTACTAACATTTCATGCGTCAAATTATCAATTTTAACCAACATATTGTCTAAAATTCTTCTAACAGTCCCAATCATTCGTTCCCATGCGCCACCCATATGAGAACTGTGTGGTGAATTGAATAACCAAGTTGTTCCGGAATTCAATAAAAAACTTTTCAAAACTTGATCTTCTACATTTACTGCGTTGATTCCAGCATCTTCAGTTGCACCGACAAAATTGGTTCCCCTATCTGACCTGAACTGCTTTACTTTTCCTCTAATGGATATGAACCTTCTGAGAGCATTCAGAAATGACGAAGCAGACATGTCTTCAACTACTTCAATGTGTACCGCACGAATGCACAAACATGTGAATAAAATTGCCCATCGTTTAATGTTTACTTTAGTGCTTCTTGTCTTACGAGTCACAACATAAAAAGGTCCGAACATATCTACGCCTACGTATGTAAAAGGTGGCGATTGCTCAATACGATCACTTGGTAGGTCAGCCATCTGTTGTCGTTCAAATTTACCACGATATCTTCGACAAAAAACACAGTCATGAATGAGACTTGAAACCAGTCGTTTAGAACCTATAATCCAAAAGCCTGCTGCACGTATAGCGCCTTCAGTGAAATGACGTCCCTGATGAAATACACTTTCATGGAAATGTCTTGTAAGTAGAGTAGCAATATGGTGTTTTCTGGGTATAATTACTGGATTTTTCTCTAGTGACTGTATAATGTTACAATTCTTCAAACGTCCACCTACTCGGAGAAGTCCATGTTCATCAATGTATGGGTTGAGCTTCAGAATGCTACTTCTTTTGGGCAAAAGTTTACCTTCAGCTAAACACTGGTGTTCTTCGGCATATGCATCTATCTGACATTCTCTTAGAATCAACCTTTTGGCTTCTTCTTGTTTATCGATCACGTCCTTGAGATTATGTTCATTTGTCATACATATTTTCTTCTTAAGTAATGCTATGGCTGTCACAAGTCTTTTCCATGATGAGAACCTTGTAAATCTTTGAGATCCAAGGTGTTTGAAACTTTTTACAACCGAAAGGTTAACATTTACTTCTTTTTTCACTTCCTTGTCTTCGTCCGGTTTGATTAATTCAAAATCTATTGTTTGTTGCTCAACATCACTGAACATGATCGAATCTGGCGGTCCATTTAGCCATTTACTTTCTTGTAGTTTGTCCGCTTGTATACCCCGTGTCCCTACATCTGCAGGATTCATCTGTGTAGACACGTATCTCCACTGTTCTGGAGAAGAATCTCTCTTAATAACTTCTACTCGATTGCTTACGTACCGAGTGAAACGTCTGGTGGAGTTATGAATATAACCGAGCACGATCTTACTATCTGTGTAATATCGAAAACAATCTATGGGTATGTCTATATTTACTTGTACTGTTCTTGCTACCTGTACTGCTAATACTGCTGCACACAACTCGAGTCTAGGCATGGTATGTCCACTTGATGGTGCTACCTTTGCTTTTCCTAAAATGAAGCAAGATGTGCGTGTCCAATTTTGGAAATGAACAACCATGTAAGCTACAGCGGCGATGGCAAGTTCTGAAGCATCACAAAATGTAAGTAAATTTACTTGTGAAGCTTCCTTCAGTGACGTTTTTGAATAACATCGTGGGATGTATATCTTGTTAAGTTGTACTAAAGAGTCTTTCCAGGCGTTCCATTCACCTATTCTAGTCATTGGTAATTGTTCATCCCAATCACTGGTCTCTGACATCAACTTTCTTAGAATGATTTTTCCTTTTACACTTACTGGCGCTAAGAAGCCAATGGGGTCAAATATACTGTTCACTATCGATAAGACTCCGCGTCTTGTAAATGGTTTATTGTCAGCTACTACATCAAAAACAAACCTATCTTCACTCATATTCCACAAGAGTCCGAGACTTCTTTGTACAGGTAATGCTTCGTGTTTTAAATTAATGTCTTTCAGATCTTTGGAAAGCTCATCCGAATCAAATTCTGAAACTACTTTTGGACTGTTTGATGCTATTTTGTGTAACACTATGTTGCTTTCAGACATAACTTCTTGTGTTCTTTTGATAAGGCTAACAGCTTCATTTTCGTTTTGACGAGAGATCAAAGCATCATCGACATAAAAGTCTTTATATACGAAATTCTGAATTTCAGCATCTGCAGTTTCTACAGATTTCCTTAGGCAATATGTGGCAATTGCAGGTGACGGACTATTTCCAAACACATGTACTGTCATCCTGTATTCTATAAGAGGTTTATCTGGGTTGTTTCCTTCATGCCAGAAAAATCTTAGGTAATCTCGATGTTCCTTATGGACGCTAAAGCAATAAAACATCTGTTTTATATCTGCCATAATAGCAACTGGCATTTTTCGAAATCGCAGAAGTATTCCTAATAGATTGTTCGTTAAATCTGGACCATGTAACAGTACTTTATTTAATGAAACATCTTTGTACACAGCTGACGAGTCAAACACACACCTTACTTGATCTGGTTTATGTGGATGGTAAACGCCAAAAACTGGAAGATACCAACGTTCTTTGTCTAGATCTAATTTTGGAGCTATTTCCGCGTGACCATCATCAATTAACTTTCCCATGAAATCAAACACTTGAATTTGTTTAGTCGGATTTCTTGATAGATTTGCTGCAAAAAGTTTTGCTCTATGTAACGCATAATCAAAATTATTTGGTAAACGAGCTCTCTGTTGATGAAACGGAAGAGGTGCCGACCATTTATTGTCTACTTTTTTAACGTTGTTGTCCATGATGTCAATAAATTGCTTGTCGATCACTGAATATGCCAATTCTTCATCATCGTTATACCTCCTAAAGATCTGGTCATCGGTACATTCTTTTACTAATTTAATGTTTGGACACGGTTCAAAATTAGATTCTCTACCATTTGACAAAAGAAAAAGTTTGTTAACTGTTACAATATTTGGCTTGTGGGTGCCAACACAAACTTCTCCTACAATGACCCATCCTAATGGAAGTTTTTGCGCATATGGAGATCCTTTTGGTCCGAACTTCTGGTCAAGAACATGATGTGCTTCAATTAAATCTCTTCCAATAAGAATACATATATCTGCTGCGTTTAGAGTAGGTATGTAATTGGCTATATGTGCGAGATGTGGATGATTTTGAGCCACTTCCGGTGTTGGAATTTCATGTCTTAGATCAGGAATGTCTTCACACTCTAATAGATTTTTCAATTCAAAAGTTTGTTGGCCACAATGCGATTGGATAACACAATCTGCAACTTTCCCATACTTCACCTTCTGTCCTGTACAACTATTTATTGTGTATTCTATCTCAGTAGCTGGTAACTTTAACCTTTCAAATACAACTGACTTTGCTAATGATCTATTGCTTTGATCGTCTATAATGGCATAAGCTAACATTGACCTCTTTGACTCCTTACTTGATACCCGTACTAAACAAACTTTGGCACATGAGCGACCGGAGAAGTTTTCATTTCCGCAAACTTCCATACACGATGTGGAAACTTTAATATTGTTATTTGAGTCAGCCTCCCCGCCATGATTCTGTAATTCACCAGTTTCAAAGTCTTTATGCATCAAAGTATTGTGCCTTTTCTTGCACTTACTACAAGATATGTATTCTCTGCAGTTTTTTGACAAGTGATTTGCTTTAAAGCACTTAAAACATAATTTTTCATTAATTATATATTGCCTTCTATCATTGTATTGTTTGGCAAGAAATGTTCGACAATTTTCTAGATTGTGACTAGTTGATTTGTGTATAGGACAAAATGTACACGTTGTATCACCTTGATTGTTCACACGGCTTATTCCTAATTTAGTGTCCGTATTACTGTCTACATCAGTCTTCCTGTTCCATACAGCATTTTTCGACCTAGATTTTATATCTGGACTGGAAGTTTTTTGCACATCGTTCAAAGGAGAAATGAGACTTGGGTCATTACGAATCTTTGCTTGTAGATGTAAGAAATTCACGAAGACGTCAAATGTTGGATAAATTTGATCATGAAATTGTTTATGTCTACTTGCTTCGTAGATCCATTTCTCTTGTAGAAAGTGTGGAAGTTTACTCACAATAGGATTTACTCCTACACTAGTGTCAAAGTATGAGAGAGCTAGTGCGTAACTAGGATTTTGTTTTAATGCTTGAATTTCCCAGAGAATATCTGACAATTCATATAGTTTTTCACTGTCTTTGGCCAAGATTTTAGGAAACCTATCAAGTTTTTGCAATATCGACTTGTGTACAATATCAACAGTTCCATATCGTTCATTTAATCTGTCCCATGTTCTTTCTAAACCTGTAATTGGGTCATGAGAATGCGCGGATCTAATATTTAAGGCATGTTTTTGTGAAGTTGGTCCAAGCCATTTCACCAATAAATCCAATTCTTCATTTGGCGACACATCCATTTCTTGACATACACTAATGAAACTGTTTTTCCATGATTCATAATCTTCCGGTTTGTCATTGTAGTGTGTCAGTCTTGACATAGTAAAATCTTTTCGTAATAAAAATTTGGTAACCTCCTGATTTATACCACCTGTGACTTGTGTTCCAACTTTTTGTGGCATGTTCTGTCTAATTTCACTTTTAACTTGTGTTTGTGTTGTTATAAATTTACTTGTTGGAATTTTAATTGAATCTACACTTTTACAATCATTAGAGTCATTCTCATCAACTTCTGCTTCAATTTCAGCAAACGCACTTTGTTGCTTAACTAGATCAATGTCAATGTCAAGTGTTTCTTGTTGTCTTTTAACTGCGGCAGATTCAATGGCATGTTTTTCTTCCAATTCAGCTTTCTCTTTTCTTAATTTTGCTTCCATTTCAGCATAACGTAATTTTGCTTTAGCTGCTGCTACACGTGCTTTAGCTGATGATGTAGTTGAATGTTGTGAGACAACACTTCGAGCCGGTGAAAACAGTGAATTTCTTTTAATTTGATTCCATTGTGTTACTTTGTCTTTAAATTTTGTAACATCATGAACAAGTTTATCACGATCAGCAGTAAGTTCACTTAAGCGTTTCAAAGATTCATCAGTTTTTATAGTTTCCAAGTATTCTTTGAATTTTTCACTTTCATTGTGAAAAGCATCCAATTTATCACTCAAATCCTTCTCAAGATTGTCAATGTCACATAAATAAATATCCACCTGTAGTAACTTCTCAATTGCTGCTGATTTTTCTTCAAAGTTTTTCTCCAATTTTTTAACCTTCTCGACATAGTTCGCCATAGCTTTTGAAGTCAATTTGCGTATTCTACCAGACATTTGATCGATTATTCTTGTGTCCCGAGCTGTTGATCATCTTCATGAGCCAGCTAATTTACTGTGATGACACGAAATAAAACGAAAAACGAATTGCCATCCAGATAACCATTTATTCACAGGCATGTAATATGTCTTTCTGCATGTGATGTTTGTTTGTGTGGTAAATTACTGTAAATAAAAGAAAAAAAAATACATGTAACTTCTTATTATTACAAAACAACGAGATTTCTAAATTGTATGAAAGAATATTGTAAATGCGATATTACAGAGCAAACATTACGATATATTAGCATCGAACCCTCATAATATAATCTTTTAACATTAAGAATACGACATTACAATCATGTAGTCTCGATACAAAAATACAAGTACGAAAATTTTAGGTACGAAATTCGAGGAAACTTGCAAAGCTTCTATTGCAAATAATACGAAGAATGCACACAAAATACGGCTATAAAATGACACATTATATGGTAAACTTCTAAATTAAACCATTAATGTTTATAAACTTACGCTGTGAGGCCATAAAAAGATCAAAACATTTGTTAATTTTCACGAGGAAAAAACGGCATGGCTTTAAACGAAAATTTCTTTTAAACGAAAAGTAACGAAAAGAATCAATGGAAAGTAATAAACGGAAAGTTCCATTACAATATTTATTTACAGTGCAAGGGAGGCAACTTAAATTTTGATTTTTTTGACCAGCTGGCCCAATAAGTAGATGTTTAAATTTGTATAAAGTGATTTGTATTCAAAGAATTTATTTTTTATTGAAGAAATCAGTTTTTCATTGTTGTAGAAAGTTAGTTAAATTAACATAAAATTTAGTTATTCTTAGTTTAGAACAGTTATAAATAATTTGTGAATAATTATATAAATTTGATACTACATGTAAATGTAAAAAAGATTAAGTGAACATTTATAAGCATTGTGCTTGTGGGTTCTGGTCATTAACATTAATATATAATTACAACTCTTCCTTTTATTTTATCATTAAAGATGTTACATGAAACAAATCCCTTACAAGATTAAATATTTACAACAAATATAAACATCCACCAACAATCAAATATTTACAACAAATATAAACATCCATCAGCAATCAAATATTTACAACAAATATAAACATCCACCAACAATCAAATATTTACAACAAATATAAACATCCATCAGCAATCAAATATTTACAACAAATATAAACATCCACCAACAATCAAATATTTACAACAAATATAAACATCCATCAGCAATCAAATATTTACAACAAATATAAACATCCATCAACAATCAAATATTTACAACAAATATAAACATCCATCAGCAATCAAATATTTACAACAAATATAAACATCCATCAGCAATCAAATATTTACAACAAATATAAACATCCATCAGCAATCAAATATTTACAACAAATATAAACATCCATCAGCAATCAAATATTTACAACAAATATAAACATCCATCAGCAATCAAATATTTACAACAAATATAAACATCCATCAGCAATCAAATATTTACAACAAATATAAACATCCATCAGCAATCAAATATTTACAACAAATATAAACATCCATCAACAATCAAATATTTACAACAAATATAAACATCCATCAGCAATCAAATATTTACAACAAATGTAAACATCCACCAACAATCAAATATTTACAACAAATATAAACATCCATCAGCAATCAAATATTTACAACAAATATAAACATCCATCAGCAATCAAATATTTACAACAAATATAAACATCCACCAACAATCAAATATTTACAACAAATATAAACATCCACCAACAATCAAATATTTACAACAAATATAAACATCCATCAGCAATCAAATATTTACAACAAATATAAACATCCATCAGCAATCAAATATTTACAACAAATATAAACATCCACCAACAATCAAATATTTACAACAAATATAAACATCCATCAACAATCAAATATTTACAACAAATGTAAACATCCACCAACAATCAAATATTTACAACAAATATAAACATCCACCAACAATCAAATATTTACAACAAATATAAACATCCATCAGCAATCAAATATTTACAACAAATGTGAACATTCACATTCATCATCAGCCTCAATATCTTTATGTGTGTGCAACAGTGATTCATTTTCCCAAATAATCTCGTAACTTTTGATATAATGGGCAGAAAAACATATTTTGTTGTACAAATATGATTTGAGTTTGTATTTTTCTATAGAAGATCAAATAACACATCAATTCTTGATTAAAATAATAAGTAGGTATTTAACTATAATATTATTCTTATTTCTAACAAAAATGCGTATCTCCTTTAGATATTTTATAGAGGAACAAAAGTGACAAACTACCTATTTTTTCTCTTCTTATTCATAAGCAGACGACAACTAACGAAAAGCGGAATTCTCGTGCCACGCGATTTATGTCACGTGCGGTTTAGACACATTTTGAGTTTAACAATATATAAAGTGCATATAAATTATACATGTGTATCGTTCATCTAAATAACAATGATATTTTAACATGGATTAATAGATCAGATTCCTGATGATGTTTGACAATTATACAGTCTGGATAAATATGAATTTTACAGGTAAGTTTACACAGTTACTCTGCTGTTACTTAGCCATTTAGTCAGTCGAAATCCACCTAACTTCATAATTGACTGAAGATCAGTTGCTAACTTTATTGCCTTTTGTTCTGATTCCACAGACTTCAGTCGTCAACATAAAAATTTCTCTGGACTGTAGTAACCACTTCCGGTTCAAATATTTCGGCATTGTCAACTGAAGTTCTTTTTAAGGCATACGCCGCACAACTTGGTGATGATGTCGCTCCAAACAAGTGTACATTCAAGCGTTTACATTTCGGTTTCTTGTTTAAGTCCCCACCAGGCCACCATAGAAAACCTAAAACATTGCGATCTTCATCCGTAACGCGCATTTGATGAAACATGGATTCTATATCCGCGACAAGGGCTATTTTCTCTTTCCTAAAACGAATTACTGCGCCCATAAGACTGTTCATTGGGGCAGTTGGCTATTCAATGAAACGCCTTTATATTTCGCAGCGCAATCAAACACAATGCGAACTTTCCCTGGTTTGTTTACATTAGTAACTGGATGATGTGGTAAGTGCCAGATACGTTTGTGATAGTTTTCGTCCTCAAATTCCGGTAATTCAGTCGCAAAACCTTTCTGTATATATTCGTTCATGGTAGATGTGTACATTTTCTGTAACCCTGGGTCACGTGACAGTTTGTTTCTTAGTTGTTGAAGACGCACTTGAGCGAGTGGAATGTTGTTAGGCAATTGTCCGTTCTTAATTTTCCATGGTAACATAGAATTTTTCTCGTTCAATCTGTCTTTAAAATCAGTATTCCACATCTTTTCTAATTGTTCCTGTAATAATATGTCTCTGGACTGTTCAAAGTGAATATTTACTGCACTGGGAGCTGTATAGTCTTTCAAGGGGCCACGAATCGCCCATCCTAGGCGGAAACGCACTGCATATGGTTGGTCACTGTCTCCTGACCGTACTTCTAAGGGGATATGGGCTGCTGGGAAATCTGTGCCAATAAGAAGCATTACATTAGTATTGGGAATTTGGGGAATTTCAATGTCAGATAAGTATGGAAAAGTTTTGTAGTCTAAATGCATTGCCGCTGATTTTGCAGATATCGGTAGTTTCTTCACCGGCCATACCTTACGTAGGGAGACTTCCTCACTTCCGGTTCCGTTTACAGCCATAACTGTAAGGTCCGCTTTAGCCCATAGCTCGTGCTGCTAGATGAGGTCACGGTTGATATTTGAAACGTAATTGGCTTACAATCAACATTTAACTTCTGTAACAGTCTTTCGTCACATAGTGTTTTATTAGCACCATCGTCTAACAGCGCGTATGTATGACACTGAATCCCGTTTTCGCCTCTTACAATCACAGGCACAACACCCAAACAGTTCTTCACAAATGAACTTTTAACAGCTGCGCAATTCACCGAGGATTGTGTGACTAAAGCCTCATTCCGTGGTCCAGTCCAACTATATATGTAGTAGAATATTGTGTTTAATTCTACAATCCGGCACGGTGCATAACTTTGGTTTCCTACAGTTATTAAATGAATGATTTCCTTTCAAACAATTGAAGCACAGTTTGTTCTTTTTAACCACTTCGTTCCGTTCTTTTAAATTCATAGACTTAAATTTCACACATGAAGATAAATCTGCACAGTTACCATGGTAACATCTACATTTTCGCTCGTACTTCTTTATTTCCGTATTCCGAGTAGTCAGTGTTGTTATATCTTTTAATGGTTTTTCAGCATAAGGTCGACCGGAAGTCGTCTTGTGTTCCACTTTTAATGATTTATTCTCCTTGACAATGTCTATACCGTACATGGAATTAGCAACTCGCGACTTTTCATCTACAAATCTCGCTTTATCGGAAAACTTTGGTTCTCTACCAGACTCATTAATCACGTGTGCGGTCCCAACCCATTTCGATCTCAAATGCATTGGTAACCGCTTCACTATACGTCTTAAATTTTGAGAGTTTTCTATTTCACAAGAGAAACCTAGTTGTGACAACGTTATTTCACATTTTTGCATTTCGAAGGCTAAATTAGAAATACGTTTAATGTCAGATGCTGATAACTAGGGACCTTCTACAAGTTTTTCAATGTATGTCCTCGTGATCACGTGCGGTCTTCCATAACGAGAGTATAAGATTTCGCGTGCGCGTTTGTATCCTTCACTTGGTTCTAACAACACACAGTCTTCGATACAAATTTTTGCTTCTCCGTAACAGTATTGTATTAAATAGCTCAACCGTTGGCTGTCAACAGAAACTCTATTTTCTATATTAGTTTCAAAGTTCTTTATAAATATAGTATATAATAATATTCCTTTGGCTTTCCGCTGAAAGTTAATAGTTCCGGTTTCGGTAAATTGAATCCCTCGTGCAGCGCGAAAGCAAGTTTTTGAAATGCTGTATCAATACCGGATTCACTATCGTCGGAATTTCTTGTACATGATTCGTTACCAGATACTGCGTTTAGCGTGCGATTTGACAATTTGTACGATTCAGTATTACTCATATCACGTGCAGCACGGGAATTAGTGCGTTCAACACTGTCGTCTGCATCAAATCCGCGGCAATATCCCGTATTAGTCCCCGGGGGGTATTCACATTATTATATAAAAAAAATTATTGAAATATATTGGTGTACATCGGGCAATATTTTGATCCGTGTCAATAAGACGCTTGAAAAAATATAATTACCAATAATGCATCACTGCTCATTTGCATAGTGTAATAAACATTACCCTATGTACATCATGTACACGTGCTTCTTGTCACATTTAACAAAGTATAACGGGCTGCCGTATATAACGTTATATCCCTAGTTTTGACCCACAGCTGTATACATTTTTTGAAGTCTGCTACATATATCTAAATAAACAAAGTGTTCATCATCTATATATTGCCGGACTACTTTTGACGTATTTCTCGTGAAAACTATGGAAGTAATGCAAACATTTTTGGTGGTATAATATAAAGAGGCACTATACAGGTTAAAAAAGAAAGACTTTAAAAAAAAATTTCATTGCAACTTAAATTTCATAAACGTT